AAAGTTAGATTCAGTTAAAATAGTATGTAGATCAAACTATCAACAATTCAAGAGAAGACAAAAATCCTTAAATATGAAAAATAAAGTACAGAAAAAAATTAGTAATGTCTTAGTAAAAATTCATAAAATTCTATTTCACCAGATCAGTCTCATTGAGTTTACAGTGTTACTGTGGTCTGATCTGTCTTAAACTTTGGAAGTTAACATTCAGCTCCAGACTTGTCCCTACCATTAGGCTGGCCACTTTCTTGGTTGCTTTTTGCACTTTTATTTCTGCGTGTCAAACTTTAGTTTTCATGATATAGCACTCCCTTCAGCACTTCTTGAAGAGCTGGCCTGGTGTTGGTAAACTCTTTCAGGTTTTATCTGAGAATGTTTTTTTTTTTTTTCCCATATGAAGAATAATCTTGCTGGGCATCTTTCTTGGTTGAAATTGTTTTTCACTTAACACTTTGAAAATATTTTCCTACTCTTTCCTTGCTTGAACTGTTTCTGACAAGCAAGAGGTCTAATGTTAGCCTGATGGGATATCCTTTGAATGTAACTTGATGTTTCTCTCTTGCCGGTTTTTATGTCCTTTCCTTGTGGTATTGGTCAATCTGGCTATGATGTGTCTTGGAGAAGATCTTCTTGAGTTGATTCTTTGTGGGGTCCTTTGTATTTCTTGGGTCTGAATATTTGAGTGCCTCTCTAGGCTTGGAAAGTTTTCTATCAGGATTTCATGGAATAGATTATCAATGCCCTTATTAATTTCTCCACCTTCTGGGACACCAGTGATGTGGAAGCTTGGATGTTTAATGGTAGCTAGTATTACTCATATGTTCTCAATTTTTTTTTTTTTTTGGTTATTTTCTCAGTCTTTTTGGTGAATTTTTTTCCTTCATCTCTAACAATTCCATTTGATTCTTTTTTACTGTGCATATTTCCTCTTTCAGATTGTGCAAGAACTTCCTCACCTCCTGGAACTTATTGTCTCTTTTCTCCTATACCTTCTGGAGTTTGTTGTTTCTCTTCTCTTGCATCTGTTAGTTTTTTCACTATAAATATTTTAAATTCTTAGTCTGACATTTCTATGAGCTTCCTTGCATTGTCTGTGGAGGATGAGGAGTTATTCTTTTCTCTTAGGGGAGAGATATTTTCTTGACTTCTCATATTTCATGTGCTTCTGTGGTGGTTTCTGGTAATCTGATGGATTATACGTTTTTTTTTCCTGGCTCCATCTGGGGCAGAAGAGGGTGGAGTCTGAGCAGAAGGTCTTCAATGGTCCTAATCCCTGAAAGGGGAGCTCAGAACTCAGATATTGATGGCTAGTGATTGGCTAGGTGCCGGGGACCAGCTTTGGCAGGGGTGGCTTGACTTGTTGGAGGCGGCACTGGAAATAAAGACTGAAGCCTCGGTGCCTTTTCATGCACGTCCTGAGTTGGACACCCTCCTGAGATCTCTCTCTGAAGAGTGACCCCTGCTAGGAATCATCATGCCTTTTTATTGAAAATGTGATACATGCAAGTGAATGGGTGAGGGGCTACATGTTGTAATGATCAATTCATAAAGTTTTAATAATAGAGGTCATAGATTCCATTCAGGGTTTGATTAAGGGCAGGTCTATTAATCATTGATACAATTCAGCAATTGTTTGATTGATGTAAGCAGGCGTTCGGGATTTTCCGAGAGTACAGTTTTGGAAAGCAGTTCCAGCAGGCAGAGTTAATTATCAGCTGATACTCAGTGGCAGCCGTCTTGCGATTACTGGGTGCAATGCTAAAAAAAGAAAATCTCAAATACAGATATTAGTTCTTATGGATCTCAATAAAGAATGGTATTTATATAATTCTATAGAGATCTAAAATTTAATTAAAGGAATCCTTATACATTTACCTATCCTGAGAGGGTGAAGTTACTGTTCACTTGGTGAGGGTGGGGACAGCTCTTTCAACTGGCAGTAAAGTGACTAACAAGTTAATGAAAAACTTTGTGGTATACCTAAGCATTCTATTGTGCCTGTGGCACCACTGTCATGTATTTTGTCAGAACATTAGCTACAGTGGGGCGGGAGTGTCCTGGGTCAGTTTCGGCCTAAGAGGTTATTTTAAAGCTTATGTTAAATGTGTCTTGAAAGGCCTCCCAAAGGTCAAGAAGGACTTCAGCACACCCTCCATTGTAACCGCATGGATGAAGCATTGTAATTAACAGTAAGTGGTCAGGGTAAAGGGAAGCAGTCAGGGAATTTTTGGAAAATCTTACTACAAAGATATATGAGAGAACTATGTAATTCTTTTATAGTAGTATATCAGGAAGTCAGAGGAGAGTCACTTCCCAGCAAGGCTACTGCAGTTTTCAGAGCATATAGCAAGCAGCCTTGCCAACATGCTGAATTGACCAAAGCTGTGCTCAAAGGTCAGGGGGCTCAGACAGATCCTGGAGCCCCACCGGGTCGGACTCCTCCATCTCCCCCTTTTTTATTTTGAAGTTTGAAGATGTGAATTTCAGTTTGTATTGATGTAATGGCAGAACAGAATTGTTTGAAGATGACTGGAAAGCAAAACAAACATGGGAAGATAAGCTCAAAAAGGCCTCTGACTGAATAAAGTAACATAGAGAATGAGTATTTGAAAGTGGTGAATGCACCACATAAGGAGGACACAGTACCATTGGCCACATCAGAGGGTGTTATGGAGTCAAATGGGATTTGGAAATTCTTGTAATGTCAGTCTGTAATTTCTGTAAGTCTATGGTGAGAGAGTGGTTGAAGGCCCCTCTGAGGTGAGATTGCATTTGTTCCCAGGTAATTTGTGTGTGATTGTAAGGTAAAGGAGTAACACAAATCCACTTATAATCAGTATGACAGGCAGTAGTCAACTGGACCTTAATATTTTCAATTATTTGTCCTAAATATAAACTGCTTCTTCTAGGGCATTGACTCTGTCAGTCAGTTTTTGGTCAATTTGTTCCTGTTTAAACAAGGCAGTGGAGACATTGAGAGTTAATTTGTTAATGTGGGAAGCTGTCAAACAAAGAGAAGGCCAAATTATTTAAGAAATAACAAACCATGTATTTAGGAAAAACACAAGGGGCCCATTTTGGAAAACCAGATTGTGAGGAAATGTTGTTCCAGGAATATTCTGTTGAGCCTGGGCAAACTGAAAGTAACTTAGGTGGGTGAATAGAAGGTGCAGTGGCTAAAATTGAATTATTATGTTCTGTAAGAGAAAGGAAAGTTAGGGTCCAAGCATCACGAGTGTGGTCATCATAACTAGAGGGGAGTGGCTATCCTGTGGCTAAAGGAGAACCTGTAACTTGAATTATAGGGGAAAGAGCAACACAAAATGGAAGAGGCTTAACACCATAAGCTGAAAAGTATAGGGGGAGTGACTCTGTGGAAGCTGAAAAGTTAAAGGGAGTTGAGACACGAGGCTGTTCAAGTCCAAGAGGATCTCCCCTCATTAGTTTAGAATGATTAGTAGTTATAATTATTTCATCACCATCCCAATATGAATTGGGCAGTTAAGAGGAGTGGGGTTTAAAGACAATAGGAATGTTAATTACTGTGTTTACTCTTAGGTACAGAGGAGAAGCCAAATTTTTAGTTACAGGAATCTAGGAGTTTATGATGGAGGTGTTTCTTTAAGATGGAATTGTTCTTGTTTCATTTTTCACTTGTCTTGTAGGTGTTCATCCATGATGGGGTCGTGTCTGGTATACTTGGGCTCTAGGTCCAGAGGCAACTAACATCTAATATTAAAAGGCTTTATCCTGTGGGAGACAAATTGGATAAGAAAACTGAGTAAATTAGAGCAAAAAATCAAAATTAGAAGCACGGTGAATAGAGCATGCAATGGGAGCAAGGACCAAGGAGCTTACTGGTATCAGAGGCCACTTTAACTGTTCCATGAGTCAGCAGCAGTCTGTTCTTTTTCAGACCATCTGGTCATGGAGCCGCTGAGCCATACTTTCGACAATGTCTGACTTGCAGTCAGCCTCTGGAGTGACTAGAGCAGGGCTGCTGCTCTCTGGTGTCTGAAGCACTATCATAAAGGACCCTCCTGGCCCATCCTTACAGACCAAGGCCCCTGTGAGTCCAGGAAAGCAGTCCACTTGGCTCTGGTGTGACAGACTCATAGGCTAACTTTACAACTATGTGAGGCCCCATCTGGACTAGTTGAAGGGGCTTCTTTTCTTTTAGTTGTTTTACTGTATATAACATTTAAAGATAGCAAAAGGGAGGGTGAAGTCTGGGCAGAAGGTCTTCAATAGTCCTAACTGAACCTTGAAATGACATTTTCAGACCTGCTAAAGAAGCTCATGGAAGCATGTTTCTGCATACACCTAAAGGTCATATGTTTTCTCAGACTGGACACTCTCCATACATTCCCCCCTTTTTCTTTCTTTTTTTTTTTTTATTTGAGTTTGTGGAGCTGCATGGCTGTTGTATAGCATTTTTGCCAGGTGATTTTTTTAAAGTGTTGATTTCCCCACAGCTTCTAAGGCTGGAGCTGCTGCCTTAGGCGACACAAGCGTGGACTGCCCACCCTCGGGTGCTCACAGCAGTCCCAAGTCTTGCCTGGTCCTGAGATTTCCACGCAGCAGAAGGTCTGGATTCCCCTTCTCAAGCATTTCTGGCCCACTGGCCTCATTTGGACGGAGGGGAGGAACTGCACAAGCCTTTGTCTCAGACATTGCTGCCTGAGCCGCACTTCCTTGTGTCTGCACCTTCCTAGTGAGAAAAATCTTCACGAGCCGACCCCAGGCAGTTCCTGGGGTGCCCTTGCATCCCAGATTAGATTGGCCGCCTGAAAACTGCCAGCTAGCTGGAGCTGGGGTTGAGGCCAGTGGTGGCCCTGCCTCAGAGTTCCTTGCTGGCCACAGGGCTGTACATGGAACTCTGTAACTAATCATTTTAATTATGAATGAGGATCCTAGTCTGTAGCAGGCTATTGGCCTTTCTCCGTTGCCTGACTCTTGGGGATGAGAGGACTGTTGACAGAAAATAACCAACTCTAAAATTTAGTAATTAATGGTTAATGTGCTTTATTTCCAAGCAGAATATAAGTGACTTAGGCCCATAGAGTAGGCATACATGCTTTTATCAGGGTGATTACATACAGGGGTTCCTTTCATTTGATTTTGAGGTTGACAGATAAAATTAGTGAAGAGATTTTCATTGGTCTTGGCCCAAAGAGGTAGAATATGTGGAAGTGGGGTGGGAGGGAGTGGGGCTTGTAGATGGGTTCCACAATTCCTAGGTTGGTGATTGGAAGGGAAGATCTATGTCCTGGGAAGAGATTCATAAATCTACATCTTAAGGAAAGGTAAATTCTGTGTCTTGGGATGAGGTTATCAAAAGAATGTATTGTAATTGGTTGAATATACATTTCAAAGATATTATGCCAGGGACAGGATGCAGGAAGAATCCTGTTAAATGGAAAAAATGGTCTCTTAATGTTAGCGTACATGACTCCCCCTAGGCCCTTGGGAAAGGACTTTGGAAAAATAGAAAAAAGCAGTCAGACGGACATCTGTCCATAGGAGGTAGTCTCCAAAGATGCCTCTCTAGGAGTCAAGAGCTGAGGGAGGCTGACTCAGACACAAATCAGGATCTTTCTGTAACCTAATAGTGTAGGGGATATACCATCTGCATCTACACTAGTGTTATCAAACTCAAATTAGGTTTGCTAGCCCAAATACTATAAAACCAACCATAGGCACATGGTGTGATGAAGGAAAATCCTCTATTGCAAAGTGCAAAGCAAGGAGAGCAGGTAGCTCATGCTGAAAAGACTTGGTATCCCCAAAGTATTCCCCATAGGCGTTTTTAAGGGCAAAATTAGAGGCAGAGATCCCAGGCATATAGTTAGTTCAGTGATTAGTTCAAGAGGGCGTGATCATCTCCTGAGGCACTCCTGTTTGGTGAGGCCTTCGATAATCAAATTTCAGTTCAGGTTTCTGGAGCCATTCAGCCCAGGATCTTTGAGCTCACAGCCAGCAGTTTCCAGGCTAGGAAACAACTTACATATTGAAATGAAAACTCTATCTTTCCTTTTAGTGAGAGTTTTAGAGGTCAATGGCCTGTTTTCATGGCCAAGGTTTTTTCATTATCATAACCAAAGTCTGAACTCTTATCCCTTTCTCTGGGCCATTACAATGTAAATGGATTTGTATTCCAAGAACTTTAGAAAACACACTTTACTTTTAGTTCAGCCCTTATTAATTTTCAGTTTGGGAAATTATCACTTTTTCTTTAAGAGAAGGACAAACTGAGGACCCATCCCTCTGATGGGTGGAACAAAGTCACTGGGTCAGCCCATACTAAAGGGGGGAGGATTCAAAAGGTACCCGAACTAGGAGGTGAGATTCTGAGGAGTCATCCTGAAAGGTGCCTATGGTAATCTATTTTCACATAACCATGGTATCTTCCACAGGGATTTAAACTTGAGATGAAAGATGTTAGATGTCATCTTAAAGATGCATGCAAGTTTGCGGTTTTCAAAAATCCTTTGGAAAGAAACAAAGATTTCTGCATTAGGGGGTCCTCGAAGATACAGAGACAGAGACATTGGAAGACCACCGCTTCAGGCGTAATTTAGCTGGTCCAGTGGGCGGGTGCCAGGGACCCCTAGCAGCAGAAAAAAACCAGCGCTCTGATCTGGGAGCTCTTGTACAGGTAGGTGGAAAATACAGAGAAGTAAGTGTAAATTCAGGTCCTGTGGGTTTTAAAGGCCATGCGGAGCGTTCTGACAGGGAAGAAAAGGCGGGTGGCGGTGAGGGATTGGGGTGGAAGGAGGTAGAGGATAAAAAGCGCAGTTTAGGAAAGGCAACTGTGACCTGCGCGAGTGGAACACAAAGGGGTAGTTTGAGGCTGGCAGTCACAGTCCCGGAAGGAGAGTGTCAGGATCCCAGAGAGGGGAAAAGCATGTTCGACTAAGAGGTCCAGAGTAGAGGCGCTAAGGCACCTTTCCAGGGGGGCGCCTGGAAGATTTGGAGACGCAGTCGATACAATCGCTGCCGGTCAGTACACTGATGAGCCTTGAGCGATCAGGGGCTTGCCGTTCAGGAGGCGTTCTGGAGTCGGCACCCGCAGGCCACGGACGACTGCTAGCAACTTTGCCCTCGGAGCCTGGAGACGAAAAAGGAAGCCAGAGAACGCAGAGCGCGGAGCCCGCGGGGAAGGAAGAACCCGGGCTGAGGACGGACTAGCCGAGTCGCTTACGGTCCGATGGCGGAGAAGGTAAGAATCAGAGCAGACGCGAGAGCAGAACGGTGTGAGCACGGAGGACCGGAGTGAAGTCAGCTTTGGGGCTGGCGCAGGGCAGATGTTAAACTGAAGAGTGTGCTTCGGCGGGACGGTAAACCTCCGCTCCACCCGGTAGGCAGCAGGCACCGCAGGACCGGGCGGGACCCCGCGGGCGCGCACGTGGGCGCACCGGCAGCCAGGGCAGAGGGGGCGGGCCCCACCCAGAGGGGGCGGGCCCCACCCAGGCCCCGCCCCCGACCCGGCCCGGCCCACCCCACCCTCCCGGTGCGCTGGAAGCCGGAAGCAGCGAAGGGGGGCAGACTCGGTCTCCGCGGAAGGGGAAGCTCTGGGTCTTCCCCTTACTGGCCCCCAGCCGGAGCAGCGAGCCCTCCCGTTCTGCAGGGGCCATGGGGACTCCGAGCCGCCGGCCACCCGAAGTCCCAGGGCCCTCGCTGGGGCTGCTGCTTCTGTTCCTGAGCGTGCTGGCCTCGGCGCGCGCCTCTCCGCGGCTCTTGGACTTTCCGGCGTCGGTCTGTTCCCAACAGGTGAGACCCCGGAGTGTCCCGAGCGAGGTCACCGCGCGGATGCTGCGGCGCAGGGCCGAGGCGCGGAAGGGGCAGTCGGCCCTGGCTTACGCATTTGGCCTGGGGAGGCAGGAAGTGTGCGCCGGGGGCGTCTCCGAGGGCCCAGGGCCGGGGCTGGGACACCGGGACCGCGTAGCATTGGACTGGGCGCTTGGGGCAGTGGGGGTCGCAGTGCGGACCCGGGAGAAGAGGGAGTTGGAGGAAGAGAAAAAGGTCGAGCAGCGCGGTTGCACAACCAGAACCGCGGTCGTGGGCTGAAGGCGGCAGCGACACCTCCGCCCGGGCCGCGGTGTCTGGGGAAGGGGACCCGGCGCGCGGCCCAACCAGGGAGGCTGGCTATGCCGGAGGAAGTGGAGTAAGGACGGGCCCCGCAGGTTCGCACCGGCGTCGCCCCCGCGCCGGGCAAGCCCCAGGCTCAGCCTGGCGAGGCCCGGCCGGCCCCTGGGAGGCTGATCCCGCCCTCCGAAGCTTCGCCTGTGGCCGGTGTCCTGAGAACGCCAGGGAAACTGGGCCAGCCGGTGTCGGGCAGATGAGAAAGCAGCGCGGCCGAGGATGGGGCGGGCGTCGGGGAGGCTCACCTCCGCGCCCAGGGGAGGCCTCGGGGTCCCGGAGCTCTGGGCGAGCCCGGGCAGCGTAGGGGTTCGGGGCCGCGGGTGGGACGTCTCCTGACCTTTCAGGGAATTCTGTGGTGAACGCGGCTGGGGGCCACCTCCTCACTGGGGCGAAGCCTGGAGGATCGGACAGATGATTCTTAAGATACCGGCCTGCCTTCCCCACCCACGTCGCAGCCGACTGAGAGCGGGGCGAGCGGGCCGTGGGTGGCTCTGGTTTGCGGCCGTCAAGCAGTGGCCCCGCTGCTCCACAGGAAGCGACACACCCGCCTGCCTTGGTGTGGAACCAGGACTGTGTTAAAGAAGAAACTAAACAAAGCACAGCGAAACATTGTGACTGCCCCCTGCTCTTCTCCCCTCTCAGCTGTCCTCTTTCCTCCACTTGCTGGTTTTCAGCCCCCTCCGCTCACCCCCACACCGCTGACCCTAAGAAATAATGTTCGGTCTCTGAGTCAGAGGATGTGAAACAAAGGGAAAATTCTCCTCTGATTCTGTGCAGGGTTTACCAAAAGCGGGTGGAGGATGCTTGGAAAAAATGTCTTAAATGTGAATGATGTTGGGAAACTTCCCTTCCACTTCTTTATTGGGCAGACAGGGAGGCACGTCCTCTGGTTTTACTGCTG